CTTATGGTGGAGCAGGAAGAGCCAACGATTGTTGAAGTAGATGGCGGCTCACGCTACCTGGACAGCGAATCGGCAGCAGTGCCTGGTTTAGCAAATTGAAGAGTTCTCTACAGGAGTACGGGTTACAAAGCGACCCAGGATTACCAGCACTATTCGCAAGGATGCCGAAGAAGAACGGTCACGGGATTATCGTTGTTGATGACATGGAGTTATATGCATGAAGAGAAGAGTTCAAGAAATTGGTGGAATTCCTCAGAAGCAAAGGATTGAAGATGAAGGTTGAAGGACCTCTGGATGAGGAAGAAGGATCGATGGGTTTTCTGAAAAGAAGTTTCAAGTCAAGCAACAACGGTGATGTTGAGATCATGGTGAACACGAAGTACGTTGAAGGATTATTGGTAGTGTTGGAACTTCAGAATGCTTATCCGAAGAAATTGCTAGGTCCAGCTGACAACGGAAGAGCTTTTCAATCAAAGAAAGGTGGAATGGATCCGCTGAGTGCGGAAGAACATCACATCTTCAGGAAAGGCGTTGGGATGGTACTGTATCTGGCACCAGAGAGGCCAGACATTGTGTACGTTCTCAAGAAGCTATCGACGAAGCTAGCAGCGCCAGCTTGTGTGACATGGAGATGTTGAGGTATACAGCAAAGTACCTGAAGGGTAATCCAGAGTTGACACTGGTACACTGGTACACAAAAGAAGTTTCCCCGGAAAGAGCTTTCCAGAGAAGAGAAACCATGGAACAGAAGAAGGTGTGAGAGATGTTTACAAAGAGCAAAGCCTGATCGGAGTGATACCGGACTCAGACTGGGCAGCAGATCGAGAGACAAGGCAAAGCGTATCATGTGGAGCGATCATGCTGAACGGAAATTTGATTCATTTCCAATGCAAGAGACAGAAGAGCATTGCGCTGAGTTTGTGTGAAGCTGAAACAATCGCAGCGACTTCAATATTGTCTGAAGCAGTGTTCTTGAAGGGATTACTGGAAAGGGTCCTAGGAGTTGAGCCTAGACTGGTGTTATTTTCAGATTCGTCACGCTCAAGGCAGCTTATCTCAAGAAACGGTTTAGGCAAGGCGCGTCATTTAGACGTCGACCTACTCTGGATACAACACATCCCGAAGCTTATCATAAAGGCGATAGCGGGTAAGAACAACCCCTCGGACCTAGGGACCAAATCCCTGTTCCTCGACAAAATAAAGAAATACATGGTCATACTTGGCTATGTAGGTGAGCTTCTCGATGACGAAGTGCAAGAAGTGCAAGATGATCTGGTGAGAAGAGCAAGTGCAAAGAGAGGAAAGACGATGAAGTTCGATGAGAAGCTGATTACAAGGATTATTCAAGCGGTTACGACCGGAGTGTTGATGAGTTTATGTGAGGCCAAAGAAGAACAAGTTGAAGAAGAAGTTGCACAAGGACTGAAGCTGAGTGTCATGTGTGGCATGAGCATGGTTGTTATGTGTGTTATGTGCATTTCCACGGCCTTTTGCAGATCAAGCTCTAGGGAAGAGCTGAAGAAAGGAAGAAAGAAAGAAGAAGGAAGAATAAAAATAAAAAGAGAAGAAGAAATGGCGGACGGTACTTCGCTTAAGGTGATGATCCGTGATGATTGCAAGAGCATCCAAAGTGTGATGTTTGGCGAGAAGCAGCTGAAGCGGGATCGAGAGAACCGCCAGAGCATGGAGGAGATTTGGAAGGAAGTTCAGCAGTTGAATATGTTGAGAGAAGGTGCTAAGACCTCCAAAGGAGGAGACTGCTGAAGAGGCTGGAGAAAAGAAGGAAGAAAGCGAGGCAGGAACAGAACCTGAGGATAGTGAAAGTGAGGAAAGAGCAGAAGACGATGAGAGCTCAAGTGGTGATGAGAAGAAAGAAGAAGGAGAAAAGAAAGAAGAGAAAGCTGAAGAGAAGGTGGAAGTACCGCCGGAGTTCAAGAAGACTGGAGACGAGATCACAGCCGAAGCTGATCAAGCAGCTTTGATGGCGGAAAAGATCGAAGAGCTTAAGCAGAAAGGAGAAGCAGCGAGTGAAAGGAGAAGAGAACTGGCAAAGAAGGCCAAGGAAGTTTCCGCGAAGGAAGATGAAGCTGGTAAAGAGACGGAAAAGATCAAGCAACAAAAGCCGAAGAGAGCACGGAGGTGAAGGAGGTTAAGGAAGCAGGAAAAGGTCAAGTGAACCGAGTCCAAGGTGATTCGACGTTATTAGGGTTCCTGATGGACAAAAGCAGAAGGTGCGAAGTGAAAAGTGTTTCCCCAGCTATCCAAGTGCTGATCCTAGTATCACATGTCTATCAAGGAAAAGAAGCTAGCATGCCAGAAAAGTACGGAAACATTTCGGCTCAAGACAAGCAAGAAGCTTAAGCCAGGAAGCTTTAACAGTTCAGCGGAAGGTCACTGAAGGACAGATGGCAAGTGCTGTTGAAATGATCAGTGGAGCTGAGATACTGTTGATGATATGCGGGTTGGTATTTCTATGCCAGCAAGCGGTAGAGGCTATCCGCGCAAGCATTGCGCTGTGCAAGCGGATGCGTGTGGAAGTTGAAATGGTGTACGTTCACCATGGAAGAAGTGTGTTCCACAGGAAGCGGTGTATGTGGTATTGTCCACCACCAAAGACGATGGAGATGACGAAGGAAGAAGCTTGGAACAAGGGTTTCCGAAGCTGTTGGAAGTGCCATCCTGAGGACCGTCCACAAAGAATATCGCAAGAAGAAGCAGCTACAAGAAGCAATGAAAGAATTTGCGGTCTACCGTGTGTGCGGTGCGGCGAAGGAGTATGCAGTCGACAGAAGGAAGGACATATGAACTGTGCACGCACAGTGCATAAGGGATCATGCCGAAGCTACATGGCGTGCGTGGTATGATTACAATGAAGAGCGAGAAGAACGTCCGGAGATGATTGATGACGAGACTTGGGAGACAATGACTTTAGCCCAAAGAAGGACTGCTGTCGATGAACAAGGAAGACAACCACTGAGAAGAGAAGCTCAAGCAGCATACGACCAGTTCGTTGCAGAAAGCCAACGAGAAGCGGAGGAAGCAGCCGAGGAGTTGCATGGTGAGCATGAAGCTGAAGTAACGATAACTCGCAGAAGGCTTAATGTGGATCCGGGTACCCCACTGAGGAAAGAACACAAGGGTATCCAAGCCTTGGAACGTTTTAAACGCATTTGCGAGAAAGGTGAGTTTCAAGAAAGACGCCAGATCGTGAGGGCGCAAGACAAGAAGTTTCACTTAGCATGCGAGAAAGGCTGTATGCTTACTTGCAGATGCTAACGGAAAGCCACGGATGAACAAAGGCCGTGCAAAATGACGATTGGTTCGACCAGTCTACGGCAAAGCACAACGACAGCTAAAAGGCTGAGCTGAGGAGTGAGATTAGCCAACCGAAGGTAGCACAGACTACCGCGACGTGAAAAAAGAGTGAGTGCAGCCTGCTTTAGTTTCGGAAAGGAGTGTAGGTTTCTGAAGCGACAGTTTCGCTGAAAATTTTCCGTTACAGGACTTGAAGTCAACTACATCCGCGACAAGCGAAGATGAAGAGGAAGATCACGGCTAAAGCGAAGATGACGCTCAAAGGAGCATGCGATAAATGACAAGGCTCTAAGTGAGCATGAGACAATGGTGAAGTGGATGGATGGTAGGAATTGTTTGATGATCGAATCAAGTTGTACAATACAACCTGAGTCGATGAGGGCGTAACAAACATTTCAATTTCCTATGTATGCCCAATTTAGGTTGTTTCACTGCATGTCTCCGTAGGTCAAACGACGGCTCAAGCACAGCGGGAAAGTAGTGTGGGCCGCCCGTGTGTTGACAAAGGGATTAGAAGTTGACGTTGGTAAAAGGTTTTAAACTTTCAGATTCGGATGATTCCGAGTGTAGGACACCTGTACCAAACCCCAAACACCCTAGGTATCTACAATGGCATCTTGAGCACCTTACAGGGGATCTGCGACTGAGACCCATCGAGGCCAGGGCATTCCACATGCTTCAGAGAAGCTACCCACCCTGTAAACTTGATACCTGGCACTCTTTGACATGCTGCCTAGATCGTCCCTACGAAGATGTTCCTCCGGTTCGTACCCCAGACCCCCGGGCGGATCTACTTTCTAGATCCACATTTGTGTGCGGATCTACTTTTGCACAGGGGGTTCTAGAAATTGATGTGTCGCTGGAAAATGCCGTTCTGGGTAGGTCTTGTACAAAAGTAGCCAAGAAGGCTCTGCATGCCAAAAAAATCATCATTCGGCTCAATAATGAGTGCGGAGAAGAAAAAAAAGCCTTAAGACCCTACAAGTAATCATTTGGCTCAATGGGTGCGGAGAAGACAAAAAAGAGGACCCTAAAACCCTCAAGTTCAAGCCTTAATACCAGACCTTTAAATCTAGAGCAGTGAACACTCGAACCTCGTGAAACCATTGACAGCCAGGTGTTTGCAGCTGCAAATACACAAATAGTGGGCTGATATTATATATATATAACTATTATAGTTATCAGTGAATTGTAGTAGTTCTCGAACGGAGCGACAGAAAGTTAGTCCTGCACAGGCGATATTCCACGAATCCCGAACGTTTCGTCATTTTAGGTCGTCGTCGTCGTCGTCTTCGTCGTCGTTTCATTTGTCGTTGTTGCGAAAGCCGCGGCCGGCAACTGCTCTGGCTGACAGGGGCAGCTTTGCAGGGGAGGGTCTCGGAATGGTGTGCAGATAGGGTTTTGGACTTCGCTGCAGGTTACATATGCCTACACGGCTTCAGGTTCAGTGTTCCACCTGTGGATCTGGTTCAGATCGGGCTGCAAGTCGATTTTACAACAGCTAGCTCGGGTTCTGCTCGCTGTAGGCGGTACAGCGGAGACCCTTAACTACAAACCCTGAAAAGTAAATCCCAAACCCAGGTAGTCGGTTGCCGTAGTCGTGCTGCACTTCAGAAATAACCTGGGCTGAGGGTCCAAGCAGCTTCGGAAGTGTTCAGGCTTTACTTCAGGGTTGCATTGCCGCAATGAAGCGGCCATCGGCTTTGAAGAAGACGGTGCGGGCGAAGCCGGCGGCGAGGGCGGCGGCCGTGCAAAGCGATGATGAGCCTGGTCGCAAGAGTCGAGTGGGTTTCAACGATGTGAAGCAGTTGGCTGATGCACTGAGCCCTTTCATAGACAAGCGGTTCTTCACAAGCTATACCACTGATCGTGCGATCAAAACCATGGACAAGAAGAAGCTTTGTTCTTCGCACACTGGGATTTACAGTTAGCACAGCCTTCTGAGTTTTCCTGGTTTTAACTATAAGAAGCTTTTCCTTATTTGGATTGCTGCTAATACAATTGTGCGATTCGAGGTTGTTTCAGGGCATTTTCAACAGCTGCAGAATGCTGAGCCCCACGTGGAACTTTCCGGATACTGTTATCAAGAAGGCACTGCTAGCGAAAGAGGACTGCAACTACTAACATTTTGAATTATTTTTAGAGGTCCTATCCTGTCCTATCCTGAGACTACTGAGTGCTACCTACAATACATATTGCTGTAATAATGGGAGGACAAGCAGCACTTGGCCGAGCAGATTAATGAGTCCGATCGGGATGCATGGTCAACAACCAACTCCTTGAGACGCAGCGCGGCATTCCGACATTATGCTCAAGCTACCCTTCGTGGAAGGGAATGGGTCCCAAAGGCACCATATGTTTTGGATATCGTTACGTTTCTGGAGGATTTGGTTTAGGGTTTTTAGCCGGCCCCCATCAGGCGCACAAGCCCTTGAAGAGATTGCCTTCGGATGTTCCTTCTGGCCGTAGGAAGGTCAAGGGGAAACAGCCAGACGGGGCAGCGAAAGTCGTGGCTACGGTGCCGGAGCCCGCTGAACAGGATGATCTTAAGGGCGAAGAGCAGCAAAAGAGTGATGGTTCTGATACAGGGCAAAGCAACGACAGCACGTCAAGCAGCAGCAGTAGCAGCAGCAGCGGCAGCAGCATTTCGCAAAATGACAGTCAGCAGGCAAACGAACAAGAAGTCTGTTCCGAGGATGCAAGCAAGCCCCAGGAGGAGCATCCGCAGCAGCAAAGCAGCAGCCCACAAGCCGATGCCCAGGAACAAAACAAACCCCAAGACCAGAATCCATTGAAGCTAAGCAGCAGCAGCATCAGCAGAAATCAGCAGGGTCTGTCTGACTTCTGGATGATTTAGCCTTACTGCTCCATTCGTATAGAAATTATAAATGGAACCATTGCCGATTTATCTTTCAGTTGCTACACTTGCAACTCCAGCCTAGCAACGATCCGAGCCGACAATAAAGGAAGAGGCGGCCAGCTTCATGGCGAACGACTGGTTCCTCAATACCTTGGAGGGCATGATGGGTGGAGATCTGGGTCAGGATCCATCCGCTGGCAGTGCGAGTTACTTGACACATTTTCGGAATCGGTGTTGAGTCGTGAGCTTCAGGCTTTCTGGGGTAGTCAGGGTCAATGATTCGTGCTGGGCTCCTTGACGGTTTGCGGGCTTGGAAGGCTTGCTGGTGCAGGGCTTCAAAACTACGCAGGATTTGTTGCTCTGCAAGGCCAGACAGTGCAGCCCCTCATCCGCTTGCATGATATTTAGATTAATCAGAGAGCATTTAAACAAGTTTATGCATGCCCATGTGCCATGGCGAACTTGTGCATGGGCGAATCAGCATCTGGGCCTAGTGATTTCGACGACTCGGAAGCTTGGTTGACGGAGCTGCTGGCTTACGGTAGAGAGAGACAACGACGGAGACCCTCGCAGTCTGCATCAGAACACTCATGTGTGTGTGCATATATGCGGGTATTTCTTCAGGGAAGGGTTTAGGGTTTAGGGGCTAATTGCATCTAAGAATTGGTGGCACCACCAGACCATCTGGAAGTTCCCGTCGTCCCCATCGCCGCACGTCCTCAGGGAGCTGTTTGGGAGAAGACTGGTTCAGTCGTTCGTTGTGTTTCCGACAACTATTGGAAGCTTCGAGTGCCAAAACACCTGGCTGAGCTACCTCGCTTGAAGGGCTTGATCCAAGATATTATGGCCGAACCTTCTTTGAAGCTTGACCTGTTGCCTTCGCAAACACTGGCGAGCAAAATACTGGAACGTGCGAACTTGGTGATCCGGGGCCTGCCTTCCAGCTGCTGCTTTAAAATCGGCTTGACAAGCAACCCTGTTCATAGATGGAGCAACGATGGCTACGGCTATGTGCACAGCTCCAACCCTTCCTGGAATGAAATGAGAATTGTTGGTATTCTTGCCTCCGGAGAGGCTGCCGGGTTTTTGGAAGCAGCCCTTATTGATCGATGGCAGAGGGACAATCGCTGCCAAAATTCTGCTACTGGTGGCGAAGGGATTTCGATTCAGGAAGGTCCGTTCTGTGTGTATGTAGTAGTGTCCACAAGATGATACTTCCTAGCTTTGGTGCAACCTGTGGCTTGACCCACGCTGCAAAAAAGGACGGCTTCGAAGCTCATCCTTCTTAAACCAAGGTTTAATGCCTATGCCGAAGCCTAAAGCCTAAAGCGCTCCGAACATCCCGCAAAACTTGAAAGCCTAAATCCCGAACGACAAGAAGCTGCACCTTCAAACTCCAGACGAAACCACATCCTAAACCCCAACCCTACAACGTGATCCGAAGCAAGATTCTCCCTTTGTGCAAACCTCTCAGGTTACCTTTCGCCGACGCCGGGCCCTCCTCGTCGACGAGCAGCCGACAAGCCAGAGGCACCGGAAGCCTCAGCACTAAAACGGCTGAAGCCGTTGTCCGAGCAGACGCCCGAAGAGCAGAATACGACCGACGCCGCCGAGAAGCCCGACCACGCCGAGAAGACCGACCACGCCAAGAACAAGCCCGACGACGCCGAGAAGCCCGACCACGCCGAGAAGACCAACCACGCCGAGAAGACCGACCGACGACGCCGAGAAGCCCCAGAAAGCCGAGAAGAAGAACAAGAAGAAGGAAGCCCGCAAAACCGAGAAGAACAACAAGGACGCCGATACAACCGACAAGAAGGAGGCCGACAAAACCGAGAAGAACCAAAAGGACGCCGACAAAGCCGAGGAGAAGAACAAGAAGGACCCCGACAAAGCCGAGGAGAAGAACGAGAAGGCCGACGGATCCGAGAAGCCCAAGGCCACCGGCGACATCAAGTGGAACCCTGAGTTGGGGAAGGCCTGCTGGCAAAAAAAAGAGGGGGTTATCATATCCTCCATTCCATTCGTGGACAAAAATGATGAGGTTAAGGTCTCGTTCGGTGGCTTGTTGTGGAGTGTTCCTCACCTTGTCCCTCGTGATCTCGATCCCTCTATGCCAGCGAATCCCTCGCGAAAGGAAGCGAAAGCGAAGGCTGTGCCGAAAGCAAAACCGCAGCCCAAGCCAGTGGACGATTATGTCTACCCGATCATCCGCTGCAAGTATTGCACTCAGGGCTCCAAGAACCCCTTGATCAAGATCGAGGCACGTGAAGATCGCGGCAACTTGCATTCCAAGTGGGTGCAGAAGCTGCAGGTGGTCATCAAATCTGACCTCACTGTGCAGAAGGCCATGAACGTTGCCAAGAGCTTCGCCGACGCTTATGTGTACATGAATCTGAATCCCGGGCAGTTGAACTTCAGGGGCTGTAGGGATTCTTTGCTGGCTCACAAGCACGATTGGGAAACATCGGCTTTGGACTGGCAAACCGTGAATAAGCTTGGCCTGAAGCACTTCCCGAGGTCGCAGCTTGAGCTATTTTTTTGGCAAGGTTTTCCGGGTTTGGCTACCCGCATGATCCGTGTGTCTAACACAGATCGACACATCGTTCTTAAAACAAAGCACACACACACATGCAAAGCTTTCTCGCAGACACACATACATACTTCATGCATGTTCGTAAATGCACTCTCGCATGCACATGATAAGGACATATGCACACACAAACACATGCACACATACTTAAGTACCTAGATGCACACATAACATAACATAACATAGTCTATATCCGAGGAATTGAATATGTATTCACCGCTCACACAAATAACGCATCCAAACATAGAGACATTCATACATGCATATTTACGTTCATACATACAAACCCTAAACCCCAAACCCTTAACCCCAAACCCTCAACCCTAAGCCCACGATGCAAGGATGCATACCTATACAAACCCGATTCCAGGCCGAACGACTCGCCTATCAAGATGCAGAAGACGGCCCAGACTCAGATCGCGGAGGATGGGCCGAAGCCGGCTAAGGGAGATGATGCTGATGAATGTGATGATGATGAGGGAGAAGGTGACGAAGAGGAAGGTCATGAACATGACCCTGCAGTGGATCCAGGGGAGCAGCACGAAGGTTCCTAGACTGTTTCTTGTCAGTGTTACAATTAAATTCTCTGGGCTTCGATATACCTAACTACAAAACCTTAAACCAATACTCTAAACCCCAAAATCGCAATCCCCAAACCAAAGATTCCCTGTACCAATAACTCGCCCAGGCTTCGCACGGCTCGCTTCTGACTTGCTGCTTCAAGAAGACGAGTAGAAAGCAAGGCCCCGAAATATCCAGACACACCCGCAGAGCCCGAACCCTCAGTAGCAAGTTGCCAGTCGATGTGCATGATCGGGGAAGTCGCCAGTTTGCCGTGCTCCTCGCAGGCCAATCATCTATTGTACTAGAGGTAGAACAGCCGTATCTCCCGAAACCCGAATACCTGAAACTTTGTCCCAGTGGATTCAGCGACACCTCCGACGAAGAGCTGGTGCATCAGTCAGTTTGCCACCACAGACTACGAGCTTAGGGCTTAAGGTTGAAGTATGGTAGGGGTAAGGTCATTGAGGTTCTAAGTGTTAAAGCACTTACACTCTATGTGCACCCACGCTAACCTATCGGTCTTTTCCTAGATGGATGTCCTCGATGCAATAGTTTGGGTGGCCGTGCCAGCTTCGAAGCATCGTGCCATTTTCCTGAGCTGCAGCAGCTGTGAGTACGAGCTATGGTAACCGACGTAGCTATTGCCCCTATAACTGCCTTACCCGCCAACCCTTTGCTTATGTACAACGTACTAACCCTCAATAGCCTGGCCCAAGCAAAAATCGTCTCCGTCGATATAATCTTGCAGCTGCTCTTTTGCCGAATGCAGGATGTGAGATTCTGCTTCATTTGTCTTGTCAGAAGGGATGACCTTCGAGGCTTCTAGGATGGCTGTGTGCACATAGCCCTCGACCTGTTAACTTAACGGTTGGAGTAGTGCCGCTCGATCATTATTGGTATATAGGGGTTCTTTGATCGAAATAAGGTAGCCCATAGCCCGAATAATTAACCAATGCTGATTTGTTGAAACCAAACCCGTCTGCACTGTAGACTCCGGTCGCTACACAAGAAACTCGGACCCTGAAATACACACGCCCCATATATAAACCCTAAGCCTGGGCCCCTGCTCTTTGATCAATCCTCCCACCCCAGGCCCTTGGGATCTAGATCATAATGATCTGTCCGTCTTGGATCTAAAAGTAGAACCCCTGCATCTGAATTCTTGCATTCTAGAAACTGGATCCTATGTATTGGTTTATAATATGTTGCAGGTTATTATTATTGTAGAGTATATTATATATAGATATTATATATATATAGGATCCAATTTCTAGAATGCAAGAATCCACCACCCGCTAGAAACCCTTATATAAACCCTAAGCTTATAAACCCTGGATCTTCGACCACCGATCTTCCCGCTGGACTCCTCGCTATACACAGGGTTTTGGGATCTAGAATCTAGAATGCTGCGATTCTGTCATTTTGGGATCCAAAAGTAGAACCTCCGTTTGTCTATTGGATCCACAAGTAGAACCTTCGTCTAGGCAATTGGTAGGATCCTGTATAATTATATATAGTATATATATATATATATATAGCTATATAGCTATATGGGTTCTACGAAAATAATACAATATACATATTATGAGTATGAATGAATAAATAGACACATATAGCTCCGTTTTGAAAGGCTTTGAAGTAATAAATGCTCCGTACAATAGAGGGAGGGTATATACTTATATCTATATATCTATATATGTATATATATATATATCGATACTAGCATATATAACCATATATAATATTATAGATATATATAATAACAATAAAGCATCTACAAATATAAATAAATATAAATAAATATATATATATATATATATATACCTGTCGATCGAGTACACACGACCTACAGCTGGATCTAGATTGGTGGTTCTACTTTGCCGGCCTCGAGGCATCCCACCAGCCCACCAAGGGTTTTTTAAGACGACCAGTCGAAGGTCTTGCAAAATCACTACAAAAGCCCCGTATGCTGCTCTTCGAGTAGCAACGTACCAATGTAGTGCTGTTCGAGTAGCAACGTACCAAACTGCCGATTTGTGTGGATTGCGCTGATCTACCGAGAAGCATCTCCTGTAAGAGCTGAATCCCCGATGAGCCCCCCGATGAGCCCCATAGGATATGATAAGTGCTGTCTGCTCCTTATAAGTAAGCAACGCAGAGAATGAGGTATCAAAGTAGATCCCCGATGAGCCCCCCGATGAGGTGTGATGAGGTGTTAGGAGCCCAAACGACGCCCAAAGTCATGCTATCTAGACCAATTATTGCTAGTGTTGCGATCACGCAGAGCCAACCCGAGGGTTCCACTTTGGCCTCGATCCGATATGTTGCTGTGATCTACTATGTCTCGAGGCAAAGTACAGCAGTAGGTTTTGCGGTAGCTAGGTAGATCTTATATAGCTGTGCCAGTGCACAGCAATGTCTGCCATGGATCGTCGCGAGACCCAAACCGACACCCTAGTTGATTCCCCCCAAGAGGCACCCGTGGCCGCCGATCCCGGCAGCACAGCAGCTCCGCCGCCGGCCGCCGCAGCTCCGCCGCCAGCCGCCGTAGCGCCGAATATGACCTCCGAGTCCAAAGCCAAAGCAATCGCCAACTACGCATCGCACTACCATAGGGATCCGAAAGATGTTACCATCGAGGTGATTCAGGCTTCGGCTGAAGGAGCTACCTATTGGGTGACTGTTGGAATGGACACCTCAGCCCGATCTTCCACGGGTCAAGCGATGACCCGAGCCCTAAAGCACAAACCAGACGTGAAAGCTATGTATGGTCTGATGCTAGACTCCTTCAAGGGGGAATTCCGGAAGGCCTGGAGTGTGAGCAAGGACTTCGAATTCGTTCGTACGGTCAAAACCACGGAGAATACCTACAGGAAGAAGCGGGAGGACGTGGGAACTTACAAAACCCATCTTCAGATCACCCAGATTTTGGGTGGCACTGATCAGCCAGCCGCCGTTCAGCAAGCCCAGCATTATATCGACATGTGCAACCGTGCAGACTTGCAGGACTATTGCAAAAAACCGTAGTATCAGATTGGCCTCGATCACTAAGCTTTGCAAAAAACCCTGAAGTAAATTTAGTGTCTCCTTGAAGCACCACCATAGAACCACAGCCCAAGAACTTATCCTAAGTCCGAGCTATTTATGCTCCCAACCCCTAAACCCCTAAACCCCTTAACGCCTTAAGCATCTAAACCCCGAAGCCCCAGACAACCACACCCCCCCTATCAGGAGTACTGTGTGTGCTTCAACAAGTGGCTCAACGTTGACACATACCTGTGGGTTGAGCACCTTACTTCGACCTCCAACCTGCAAGAGTGGCGATCCACAGTCTCCGTGGAGTGCACGGAAACGATCCCAGGTTCGTGGGCGGAGAAGGTTGAATCTCCAAGGCTATGCGGTGCTACGCCGTAGAAACCGGCACCAGGCTGGTGGACGTCAGCGAGGATGATGTGAGGAACTCCGAGCTCGGAGTGCAAGGGTATGCTGCTTTGTTCGAGAGGGCGCCAGCGGCCCTCCCCAAGCCGGGAGATGACGGCAGTGCTGCCAAAGGGGGCAAGAACAAGAGGGCCTCGCCGGAGGAGTCCGGTGTTGGTGGTGGGCCTGGGGGCGAGGAGCCTCCAGCAGTTGAGGAAGGTAGCAACAAAAAAAAGAAGCAACGGGGCAACGGCGGCTCAAACCTTGCTTCGAAGAAGGAAAAGGAAGTGAAGGAGCTGCTCGCCCAGGAGCAGTCCTCGGACAACGCCATGTGCATGATCACGATCGAGATGGGCAAGGGTGATGCCGCATCGTGGGCTTGGGCGAGTGGGTTCGTAAAGAACTACAAGGATTGCCGGGTGCAGGTGCTCCAGGCTTACGCGGAGAACCCGTTCTTTCAGACCATGAAAGTGGCCGTGCTTTCGGCGAAGGAGCTACAGAAAGTCAAGAAGGATTACAAAGATCAGTATCTCCCGAAACTCTGCGATTTCGTGAGCACCTTAGGCCCTCGAATCCTTGCTATGCAGGAAGCTAGCTCGCAAATCAGTCTGATGTAACCTTAAAGTCTTAGGGCCTTAGGGTACTTCAAAGCTTACGCTTGCATTAAGCTTGCAGTTGCTGCCGGGGGAGTCCAAGGCTTGAATGCTTGAAGTTGCTGGGTAGTGCCACAAGCAGCATGCGTGGACCTCGGGCTTAGGTTTGGGATAAGCTGTTCTTTTTTAGGGCTTCTGTTCGGGGACTAGGATAAGCTAACCTTTTTTTAGTAAGATGTTCTTTTTTAGGGTGTGGGCTCGGGAATTAGGATGAGCGGTTCTTTTTTGGGCTTGGGCTCGGGGTTTGGGATAAGCTATTTTTTTTACGGCTCACGTGCGGGTTTAGGATCTAGGGCTCACGCTCCGGGGTTGGGTTTTATACGCCGTTATGTTTTAGGGCTTTGCTTTAGGGTTAGAGAAAAAGCCTCACTTCTACCTTGAGGTCAAAGGTTCCCACCTAGTCGAGGGCCAAAGAAAGCAAGTTTGCTTTGCGAGGATTCCATATGCTGCTTGTGTGGCTTGGGTCTCACGTACAGTGTCTCACACAAAAAAGCTTGTGCTGAGCTTGGAGCATCGGGGAAACTCTTCGAAACATCATTTGCTGTGACCATGATGCACAGCAGCTGCCGATGCAGTAACGCTGAGAGCTTGATGCAATGTACGCAGGATTGCTTAGCTTGGGCTCCCGCACGCACCGTGTATGTATGTGCGATGGAAACATATGGTAGGTACACTTGTGCATGCAGTCTAGTCGTATGGTCCTTTAAGCACATGGTCTAGACACCTGTGTATGTTGTGTGTACTAGTTTCTAGGGCCAAGCACTTACTTCTGTAACTCGTTTAGTCTTGTATCTAGGATATGAGACCGTCACGATGGAACATGGGATGCATTTTGCATGAGCTTCAAACGTGCTCGTGCTGCAGAGCAAAGCAGGGGTTCCAGTTTTGCCGTGCCCGATGCATGTCAAGACCCCTTGATTGATGAAGGTTCGAATATCGAGGCTGCTAAGAAGTTTCGACGTCTTCTGATTGAAAAATACTTAGATGGGTCTGCTACGGCAACGGATACCTGCCAGCTTGCTTACTGGCACAACGAGTCAGGAGGCGGAGGTGCTGAGGATCTGGCTTTGCACCCGCGGACTGCGGCCCGCCACGGAGCTGAACACTTGAGGTTGGGGCCTTTACGAAAAAATGCTTTGTTTCTGCAAACTTCATTGTATGGGTGCCACCTTAAAAAGTTATCCTAAATCCTCAACCCATCATTACACCCCCCCCCTTCCCAGGTGTCATCTGGCTAAAGAGTTCCCGGAACCCATTGTGGAGATGGTTTCTGTTCCCATGTATTTGAAGAAATCCGTGGGGAGGGTCATCGTGCAGCACCCCACCCGTGTCACTTCGGCGATGATACGGAAGGAGATGATCGACCTTGGTATCCTTGGATCTGAATCTCCCGCTGCTGTGCAAGATTTTCTAAAACCCGACGAAGAGTTCGGGGATCTCTACGAACGCCATTGTATCACGATCGAAGCCCTTCGTGAGGGTTTCAAACGAGAACACATTGTGCCGCTATCCGTGTACTTTGATGGGGTCCAATATTCCAAGAATGAGAACTTCTTGGGATTCTATGTCACCAATCTACGTACAAAAACACAAAGGTTGGTCTGGTTGCTGAGTACCTCGACAACAGTAGAAACCTGTATGTTTTTAGTTAAATATGCACATGTATATGTATGTATGCATGCATGTATGTATGCATGCTTGGTATGTAGCATATGGATATGTATATATATATATATACATATATATATATATATGTGTGTGTGTCTATGTTTATGAACATGTCTAGGTATATGTATATGTGGGATAGGTCTAGGTGCATGTGCATGCACATATGTATGTGTAGGTATGTGTGTGTGTGTGTATGTATAGGAAAAAATATGTGTGTATATGAATTGGGTGGGAACGAGCAAAGCAGGACTGTCGGAGCTTTGTGGCTGTGGCTGCCGCGGATGGTGCTCCGTGTTTCCACTGTTGGAGGCATTCAAACAAGATTTGACTGCAAAACACGCCGACTTGAGATTACCGATCATAGACTTCAAAGCTGATTGGGCTGCATTGGTGGAGATAGCTGCTTTGAGAACGTGGTCGCACAGCTTGCACGCCTGCCCTTGTTGTCTAGTCAAAAAAAGCGAGATGGACAACCTCGAAGGTTTCACTGCAAGAACCTGTGCATTCCCGCTGTTCGATGAGAAGAAGTACGAAGCTACTTTGGCCAAGAACTTCAAGGACCTTTGTTTCCAAATATAACTAAACCCTAGGAGTATTCTATACCTTTATGATGCCTTTATGCTTGTGGTTATGCGACTGATTATTGTGCTACTGCTGGGCCTCTAGATTCTAGACAATATCCCGGCGACATAGACAAAGATGTGTTTTGCAGCCGGCAGGAAATTACGATTCCTGATGAACATGTTCATCGGCAGATAACGAAACTTCTGTGCTTTCGAAACAAAAAAGGCCGTGGACGGTGTTTGCAGGCGGCATTCCCTCAGCTAGGTCTTCCGAAAATGGCAAGACTGGAGCCTGCGACAGCATTACCTGATGTGGGATCGTTCGAAACTCAGGAGTGCCCGTGTGTTGCACATCTCTCCTCTTTTGCAAATCCCCGGGGTGAGTTTGGATTCTTGGTGCATCGACATATTGCATTCCTGGCATTATGGGCCTCTGTCTACGTATCTGACATTCGTTCTTCGTGCTTTGTTGTCTACGGATATATACAAGCCCGGCAATACAGCGATTCTGGACAAGGAAGAGAACGACAAGCTGTGTTTGATGGCTCTGAAAGCAGAAATGTGGGTGTTTTACAAGCACAGACGTGACAGACGTGCCATCGACCCGGAATGGAGCAAAAAAGGTTCGGAGGCGGGGTAGCAAATCAGCAAAAACACATAGTATTTTGTGTCTCGTAAGAAATCAAGCAGTGACCTATCCATGTAGCTACCGTATACAACTACTCAGGGTATTTTGTACAGCTCGGTGGAACCTATTTATTGTACCCTAGGCCGCTAGTGCTCATACTTCGTGCGGCTGCAGGTCTGGAATCTTACTCTCACGATGCTTGCTGAGAAAGCATTGAAGTGCAAAGCTGCTGAAACACATGGCTTACTTGGCTTCGCTGTTGAGACGCTGGAGAAATACAAGACTGTTCTGCAAAACTGTGAGCAATCGCACATGTTTGATCTTCTCCTTCGAGCGGGAAGGGCAGCTGAAGCTTTCGATCGTGTTATGGCCAGCCACACTAGAGTGTTTCCTACCGATGCATGTGATTCGTTGCACCAGAGCTATCATCGATTCATTGTGCTTTGCTCACGGGCTGGTGTGCCTCTGCTGCCGAAAGGGCATCTTATGTTCCACCTCGTGGCTCAGGCCAGTGTGAGAGGCAATCCCCGGTGCTATTCAACTTACATCGATGAGAGCTACAATGGTGCCATTGCTAAAGTGTGTCGTTCAGTTCATAGGCGAAACTGGGCTCTGGCGGTTTATCGGAAGCTGGAGATGCTCGAGAGTATGCTTTCTGAAGAGTTCTGAATTGCTGCCGTGTCGCTTACTCTGCAGCTTCGCCGCATTATTCCCAGCTCTGCAATCCTTGAAATGCAACAGACCCATGGTCTTCCTGTTAAATCGGCATCCACTTAGATTTGATGCCGTTTTTGTCAAACCAGTTCCTATGATGATGACATATAACATGAACGAGAACCGGCCCGAGGCACGGATGGGTGCGATCGAACCCTTGTGGCCGAGCTTCTCGGTTATGCTTTCGGTCCTAGGTTTAGGGGCTTGGAAAAATAAGAGAAGGCTTGCCGCACGCTTTGCTTTTTTGAAGAGCTTAGGGTTTAGGGTCGGGTGTGCAGGGTTTAAGGTCTAGGGTTTAAGGTTTAGGGGTTGGGGCTCAAGGGCTTGGAAAGATTCTGGGAACAGGTTTCGGGTTTGGGGTTTCAAGGCTAAGGGTTCGGCTTTAGGGCTTCAGGTTTAGGTGACCAGCCCTGAATACCCCAACAAATCTGAACGATCTGGAGGAACGCTACCTTTGATCTTAGTTCTACACCAACAAAGGACTGTGGCTGTGGTCGGATGGGCCGAAGAAACAAATCACGAGTCTTGGTGGCTCCCTGAGAATATTTTGGGATTTGATGGTCACTGCTGGGTCGGCTTAGCTCGTCTAGGCTTGTCGTTTTGATTCCCGCAAACCACAAACAAGGAGATGCTGGATTCTCGATGGTTCAGATGCGGCTTCACGACTTAGTGTACAATGCATCTCCCGCAGAGCAGAGCTAATTTCGAGCTTTCGTAATGTATAAACTGTTTGTGGGTGTACTCTTCTCAAAAGTAACCGATATCACTGAAATAAAGCTCAAAGAGCCGGGCCCTGCCAAGAGTCGACCGCAGATCGTCGTGGATCACCGATGACCGGAAAGAGCCGGGAGCGTTGGAAGGTTTAGTTAAGGGTTTCGGTTTACGGGGATAAGGATTTAAGGTTTATGGGTTTTGGCGATATTTAGAGTTATAAGGGTTTAGGAGTTATGGTTTAAGGATTAGGGCTTTTCGGGGTGTTTAGGCTCAACGGTTAAGGGAAGAGCTTAGGGTCGGAGGTTTAGGGTTTAGGGGTGTTTAAGGGTGTAGGTTTCGGGTCTCTGGCATTCTTGCCTTGAAAATCCCAAAGTCCCAAACCTTCTGTCTTCACATCGAATATCCTCAAGCCCAAAGCTTCTGCAGTTATAAATCCAACACACGTCTAGCTGACCCAAGCTTTTTGCCCCCAAAGGCCCAGCTCCCAACGAAACATCAACAAGTCATAATCTAATTAGGGTCTGAGGCATGCAATTCAGTCCGCACTTTATGCTCGGGAATTTCGGCATGCAACAGGTTTGCAGGGTTCCCTCAACCCCCCAAACCCGATTGATATAGAGAAGCACCGAAAGCCCTTCAAAGCCGCCCGAACCCCAACAACCCGAAACGAACCACCCCCATGAGCTCGATCTCACATACAGTCATGTACAGACGAGGGGAGAGTAAGGAGAGACTAGATATTTTGGCTCAAATTCGGCTCAAACACCATGAGCATTAGAATTTCAGCGATATTCAATTATCGCCGTGCCAAAGTCACAGAACTATGTGAAAATAACGATAATGAACCGTGCAAGTAGTACCAACTGCTTGCCGCCGCCACCTTTTGGACTACAAACCAGAAGAATGTGCTGTGTAGTACATTTGCTGGTTAAATTTCTGCACGTTTGCTTTTTTTGCTCAAGTTGTAGGTTTCGCTGTTTCACCCAAAAATGGTCGCAGATCCACTTTTAGTGGAGTGGTTCCACTTCGGACACACAAATGGCGGATCTACTTTTTGGATCCGCCCGGGGGTCGGGGACATTGTTACAGGTGCCTCGCCGCGCGGAAGGGGACTTATCCTCTCCCATGCGTTACAGATGCCCCTTATGACGTTGGCGCTCAATCGTTTCTTTCGTGCACATGCTCCGCATTGCCAATACAGTACTTTGGCAGTTCGAGAAGGTTGCATGTCGGAGCCCCATCGTGATCAACATAACGGGCCAATGAAGGCTTGCTACGGCATCGCTTGAAGGTGAAGGCGTTTGGGTTCAGGATAGAGCGGGGTCTACGTTTAAGAACTTTCAGGGGGGACAGCGGGCGACTTTCGCATGCGGGCCACTGCCTGCCTGACGGAGGAACCGGTAGGAGATCCAGGGTCATTGTTGTTGCGTTTTGCACTCTCCATGTTAGTTCTTTAAGAAGACGTGAGAGAGCAACTTCTCGATGTGGTGTTTCCTGTCCCTACGCCTGCGGAGGTGCATCGTGCAACTTTTCAGTGGCTAGTAGGAGGCTCCCAAGGATACAAGCAACTGCAACTACAGGACCTCTGGACCCACCGCACTCCACCAGCAGCTGAACCTTCCGTTGATCGTGATTCGGATGTGGAGGTTGTTTTTGCGATGCGAGCTCCAATGACGTTGCTGCTACGCAAATTGACGCATAACCATTGGGTTTGGGGTGTGTGTGAAATACATTCCCCCTGAACTCTCTGCTGCCTCCTCCTTGCACTGCCACTCCCTTGTGCTACTGCTTTCTATTTGCACTGCCTGCACTGCCTTACCTTGCGTTTTTTTCCGGACTTCTTGCTTGGTGTCCGCCGTCCTCCTCATCTGGCCTGGGCCGAGTTGGTCATGCATCCCAAGGTTGTTTTGTTCACCATTTCGCTCTCTACCATAGCCTCGGCTCCTGGGTTCCTTGATTAGCCCTAACCCGCGACCGTGAGATGGCCTCGCTAACGCCTGCCGACAGTGAGCCCGTCTGCGACATGCTGAGTTATTACACTCTCGGCGTACCAATGACGGCGGGGCGGGGTGGATCACTGGATGCGTTTGGAAAGAATGGCGCCAATTGACGGCCACCGTTGCCGACATCCAAGCTTCGCAGTACCTGAACATTGAGCTTGTCCGGTCTTCGCTGAATGCCTTGCAGAAAACGCGGGGTGAACTCACCAAAAAAAGCTGGAACTGGTTAGAGGTATTCTCAGGGACCACAGAGGGGCGGTCCTGTGAACCTGCCTCATTCCTACGCCAGTCCTGACAGAAAAGCTGGGCCAGACCAAAAGCGAGCTCATGCAGTATATTCGTTTGCTTGGACTGGAAGTGGAGGAGAGAAAACGACTCTCACAGATGTCGTCAGGGTCCAGGCGCTTATCCGGCGGGGCATGCTTCCCATCGCTGAAGATCCCCTCCAGCTTGCGGGAGATTAAATCACATGGAAATGATTCGGGAAGGACTCGAAGGTGACACCAGTGCGTTGTATGGGGCCTTGGAAGGACTGGAAGCCAGGCTGCTGCAGTGTAGGCAGGAAGCCAGAGCGGCCACACAAGCTCCCGTACAACATATGAGAGATCTGCAGCCTCAGCTTACGCAGATACGTGCTGACCTTCAGCTGCTGAGAACACTACTGCGGGGGGAGCTTGCAGGTCCGGACCCGCCTCCATGGTTGTAAGATATCTTTGAGCCCTTGGGACTCTCCGTCCCTGTTTTTTATGCCAACTTGTGCGTAACGATGCACTGCCTTGCCTCTCCGCAATGCTGCCCAGCAAAACGAAGAGGGTTTTGTGCAGTGCATGCTGGGTCCAGTACTTTCTGGTGCTACTCATGAGGGTGAGCTTACATGAACTTGTGTATCTCTTTACAGGTTGATAGCGCAGCTTCTGGGTCCTTGCAGATCCCACAAGGTCCGTAAGTGTGCAGCGGACAGCATGGCACAGCTGACTCCCACGGATGATGAATACGTGCTCTCGGTTTCGCGACCTGCGCACCTCCTGGACTTCGGCCCTCTTACGGCTTCGGCAGTGAGAAATGGTTTGCATTGTCTGCCCCATCAGATTGCCTGCTTGGTGGCACACCAATTTCGTTGCATGATTCGTTCCCTGCGCATTGCATGGATGTGGCATTGTTTTGATGTGTTTCACCTACAGCTGTACTTGGAGTCTTTGGAGCAGGCAACTATTGATTATCCTACTCTATCCAACCCGTCGCATTTTAGCGAGTTCCAGTTGCGTGACTGGTCCGTAAGACTAGACTGTACGGCTGAGTCGATCACGTGGTGGGTCACGGGACGTCACCTGCCGTGTTGGGACATTTTGCTGCATCCTGCACGAGCTGAGGGCTTGTATGGTAAGCCCTTTGCTCACGCCTCCTAAATGACTAGTATATCCTTACTGGGGAGTTCGGTTTGGAAGTATGTTTCGGTTGGGAGAATTCTTTCAACGCACTGATTTTTGTGGCTGCACCTTGCACTGGCAGCAACCTTGTGTCACTTGATAATCATGCTGCTTACCTTTGGGCTTCTCCCGGGACCATTGCCATGCTTTGGCAGTCAGGACTTGGAAAGAATGCGACCCCGTGCGGGAACGCGCACACTGTGCCCTGCGGTGCAGGTGTCGTACTAAGGCGAATTCCGCCAATCGGTGCCTTGGGCACTGAAGCCTCCACATGTGTGTCTGTGGAATGCCTTATCCAGGCACATCAGGTCAGCAGCCACACGGATGCATAATTCGAGCAGAATACTTATTGCAGGAGAGAGTGCCTTGGATGGACGCCTAGAAGCTCCTACCCAACCTTGGCAACCTGAGACCTTGTGTGCCAGAGGGAAATCTGATGCTTGACTTCCGAGTGAGGGCGTGTCCTGAGGAATGAGGTTGTCGTGCTGCTTGGCGTCATGTGCCTTTGACCAGCTTGCAACAAAGACTGCTTGAATAGTCGCGGACATGTCCCGACTTTGCAGTTCTGTTTGAACACCGATGCAGCAACCAACCCTGCCGCTGAAGACCCTTTCGGGATTTCCTATAGCCATAGCAGCCCCCTTTTTCAGCTCGAGATGGTGTACACCACGCTTCACTCCACGGCTAGGGTTCTCCCCGGCAAGGAGCCTGAAGCCTTCAACTGGATGCAACTTGGCTTGGTGATTCACCCAGAAGCTGGGTTGATCTGGGTTCTCCTGGCCTGCTTCATCCTCTACAACCTCGGTACACCCCG